CGTCGAACCACTCGTTGTTGCTTCTGATTCAGATGTGGAAGCCATCGTGGAGCTGCCTGTTCCTTGCTCACTCGTTGTTTCCGTGGCAGTGCTAGTCTCGGCTGCAGAGCTAGTTAGCGTCGAACCACTCGTTGTTGCTTCTGATTCAGATGTGGAAGCCATCGTGGAGCTGCCTGTTCCTTGCTCACTCGTTGTTTCCGTGGCAGTGCTAGTCTCGGCTGCAGAGCTAGTTAGCGTCGAACCACTCGTTGTTGCTTCTGATTCAGATGTGGAAGCCATCGTGGAGCTGCCTGTTCCTTGCTCACTCGTTGTTTCCGTGGCAGTGCTAGTCTCGGCTGCAGAGCTAGTTAGCGTCGAACCACTCGTTGTTGCTTCTGATTCAGATGTGGAAGCCATCGTGGAGCTGCCTGTTCCTTGCTCACTCGTTGTTTCCGTGGCAGTGCTAGTCTCGGCTGCAGAGCTAGTTAGCGTCGAACCACTCGTTGTTGCTTCTGATTCAGATGTGGAAGCCATCGTGGAGCTGCCTGTTCCTTGCTCACTCGTTGTTTCCGTGGCAGTGCTAGTCTCGGCTGCAGAGCTAGTTAGCGTCGAACCACTCGTTGTTGCTTCTGATTCAGATGTGGAAGCCATCGTGGAGCTGCCTGTTCCTTGCTCACTCGTTGTTTCCGTGGCAGTGCTAGTCTCGGCTGCAGAGCTAGTTAGCGTCGAACCACTCGTTGTTGCTTCTGATTCAGATGTGGAAGCCATCGTGGAGCTGCCTGTTCCTTGCTCACTCGTTGTTTCCGTGGCAGTGCTAGTCTCGGCTGCAGAGCTAGTTAGCGTCGAACCACTCGTTGTTGCTTCTGATTCAGATGTGGAAGCCATCGTGGAGCTGCCTGTTCCTTGCTCACTCGTTGTTTCCGTGGCAGTGCTAGTCTCGGCTGCAGAGCTAGTTAGCGTCGAACCACTCGTTGTTGCTTCTGATTCAGATGTGGAAGCCATCGTGGAGCTGCCTGTTCCTTGCTCACTCGTTGTTTCCGTGGCAGTGCTAGTCTCGGCTGCAGAGCTAGTTAGCGTCGAACCACTCGTTGTTGCTTCTGATTCAGATGTGGAAGCCATCGTGGAGCTGCCTGTTCCTTGCTCACTCGTTGTTTCCGTGGCAGTGCTAGTCTCGGCTGCAGAGCTAGTTAGCGTCGAACCACTCGTTGTTGCTTCTGATTCAGATGTGGAAGCCATCGTGGAGCTGCCTGTTCCTTGCTCACTCGTTGTTTCCGTGGCAGTGCTAGTCTCGGCTGCAGAGCTAGTTAGCGTCGAACCACTCGTTGTTGCTTCTGATTCAGATGTGGAAGCCATCGTGGAGCTGCCTGTTCCTTGCTCACTCGTTGTTTCCGTGGCAGTGCTAGTCTCGGCTGCAGAGCTAGTTAGCGTCGAACCACTCGTTGTTGCTTCTGATTCAGATGTGGAAGCCATCGTGGAGCTGCCTGTTCCTTGCTCACTCGTTGTTTCCGTGGCAGTGCTAGTCTCGGCTGCAGAGCTAGTTAGCGTCGAACCACTCGTTGTTGCTTCTGATTCAGATGTGGAAGCCATCGTGGAGCTGCCTGTTCCTTGCTCACTCGTTGTTTCCGTGGCAGTGCTAGTCTCGGCTGCAGAGCTAGTTAGCGTCGAACCACTCGTTGTTGCTTCTGATTCAGATGTGGAAGCCATCGTGGAGCTGCCTGTTCCTTGCTCACTCGTTGTTTCCGTGGCAGTGCTAGTCTCGGCTGCAGAGCTTGTGGATTGTGGCGTCGTACCACTTTCCGTTGTCGTTGTTGTTGGTGTTGTTATCAGTCCTTCATTACTTCCTAAAATTGCGCATTTGTTCTTGCGTATGAGAACTCGTAAAAATAGCAGCTGTAATAATTGATTCTTATAGAATGAGTTATTGTAGGAGACGATATGGAGATAACGAGAGGATTTTTTTGATAAAATGATTTCTCCTTCTATGTGACACGCCGTCGCATTTGAGTAGACTATTAGAGTAATTGAAAAGTATTGGAACACTTTGGAAGTATCAGTAGCTTTCTCAAAAAATAACATTCACCGGGCGTTCAATTTTTGGTAGGTGTTAGAACAAATTATTGTCGTGTGGAGAAAAGCTGTAGAAAGCCATCTGCATTTGTGGTAATTCTTACAAGTATTGTAATGCAAACAATGGCTTCTAGCAATCTTGAACTTCGAGCACTACTTTCGCAATGAAGCACTTGATGTCGAAAGTATCAGTGCCTTTGCTACTTTTGGGGGAAGCACAATCACCAACTCCCCTCCGACTTCTCCACAGCTTTATAGTACGTGTTCTTTGAGTCAGGAACTACAGTCATTGATAATACTTGTTATTTCTTTGTTTGCATATAAACTTATGTTACGAAAATGATTTTTGCGCTCCATCCACTCTAGGAGATCTTGATTCAACAGGCTAAGCAGACTCAATAGAAGCCATCGCGAAAAAGATGAGACATTGGAGGAGCACAATTTGCTGCATTTCTGATCTGGTAAAAACGTATTTTCGCAGATTCCGGAAAAACTAATCAAATAAAATAGACCAAGAGTGTTTTAGCTAGAGAAAACATGTATTTAGAAGATGAGAACGAGAGCATTCTAAAAAGCGAAGGGGAGTTACGTAGGACTAGCGTCTGAAATTCTCCAAAGTTTGCGCAAAACTGAAGGTGGGATAATCCGCTCTATCTAATAACTTTGCCTTATGCTGCTCTCATGCAAGATAGTTGCAATCAGCACTTGCTGTGACGCTCGCAAAAAGTGGTTAGAGCAGTTCGTCTAAAATAAATGAGTCATTCTTTTAGTAACTAATGAAGTGTGTTTTGCGGCCCCAATTAAGCACATGAAAGATTGATATTATGTCGGTCAAAAATTTGTCAGTTTTTTAAACCCACCCGCACATACGGTAGAGTGAAGAGTGGAGATAAACTTCGAACATAATGCAAAACTTCTTCTCTTTCTTCTCAGCGATTGATGGTGCGACTCTTTCAAAGACACCGTCCACCCGGATTCTCGACTTCCATGTTTTGATCGTCTCGGGGCCTTCTCATGTCCCTGATTCCGAATATGAAGTCGAGAATCCGCAAAAACCCCAGCAATCCTCGTTCTGGAGAGCCCGCAGACCGGCTTTCCGGAACGGCGATTGGCTGGGCGCGCACGGGTGGGCGGGCATGGATGGGGGAGGGCGGGCATGGATTGGGGTCCTCGTGCATCTTCGCTATTCCGAAGTGATTTTCTCGCTTCCGAAGCGTCATTGGGCCGCGATTTGAGTATTGGCTTGATAGGGGCCCTACTAATATATGCTGCAAAAAGCTCAACACCCTCAATTTAGGGTGGACGGTGCCTTTGACCAGTGGATTATCGCCAAAGCCTGCTACTCTTTAGTAATAGCTGCCACATCAGGAAAAGATAGAGCAGTCGAAAATCATTGACCAAGGTTGGATTACTTTTGATGCAATACCCGCGCAAATCAAGCATGACTGGCTGATGTTTCGAAAGAAGTTTGGAAGTCGTTAGCAGTGCGAGTTGTTGGAGACGTTGGAATAAATTGATTCCAATTCCAAAATTCCACGGCCAAATAATATTAAATTTCTGAAACTTGTGATTCCTGACACTAACCTTACATCGCTTTGAAATGTGGGAATTTCATAGGGTTCGACACACTCGAAAGATTAACAATACCGCGATTTTCTGTGCAAATTTCGCGCGTCTCACAGAAAAGAAAAGACAACCACTGGAAAGAGGAAAAAGTCACCGAATGGTAGCTGAACTGTCTACCCCTTCAAGTTTTACGAGGATGATTTTATCAAATGTAGAACTTTGTCACTTCAAATTTTTTTTAGGAATTCTGCAAGACAAGCCACGAAGCCACAAAGTAGCATAAACTGCGAAAGATTTGCCCTAACATTCAGTTAGCAAAGCATCTTGGAGAGTCTAGAATAAAAATTTCGAAACCTAGCGAAAGTTCGGCAGGGTGAAAGGGATTTGTGATTTCAGCTATATCAGCATCCTTTCAAGAATATTGAGGATGGCAGCTGGAAGAGGAAGAAATTCCGCTGCAGACATTGCCTTAATTGTTTGCCTATCTTTTGTATCGAATTTGCGGGTCAGCTCAAAAAACTGACAAAATTTTTGTATCGACCTAATGTACTGGATTGGCAACTAAGTAATGCATCTTGTTTTATAACTTTACTTCTTCTGACATGGCGCACTCAAATCTTGGCATTATATAGAGACTTGAGCTACCAATGCAGTCATTGTGCTGCGAAATTTCGACTTCAAATCGAGAGCTAAGAGAGTTAGGAAAAGTCAAATTTATTACAAATTTGGCCATCACGAAAAGAATTTTAAATGAATGTCGCTTTCAGCGGACGAATTCAGCCCAGCAAAGTCTCTTGAAGTCTCTTTTTCAAACTTCGCCTGCAGTGGTGACGATGTCGGGATGTCCGTTTGGCAACGCCGAATCTTCTGCTTTTCACGCCAGAGCTTAGTTCGTCTTGTACTTTCATTTCTTCCTTATTTGGATTAGAGAGTCTTTCTTAGCAGCACATCATCACAATACTGGATCGTCATGCTTGGTTCAGGTTTTGCAAGGCTTCTTTTTTGCTTTGAACTCCCAAATCCTCGAATTTGTTTCAGAAAAATTTGTGGATTTATTCCAATTTTGTTAACGAAAAACATACAGTCTGTGCATTTTTGTAACTCACGTTATAATCTACGTACTGGAAAGATTTGAGTGTACCTTATTCCAATCAACTGCTAACCTATATTACAGTACAGTAGTACAGAATGCAATTCTGTCTATGACATGGAGCCAGGGTTCTGCATAAGCTGGAAAAAGAGCTTTTGAAACGAAGTTACATTCGGATTTCCTAAATTTCTACTAGCGTTTGAGTCCTTACAGTCCCCTCGCTCCTCTCTACGTGTTTTTTTTTTGCATCTGGACTTTTTAACCCAGAATAATAAGATATTAAAAACGTAACAAAAACTTAAAGACCTCTCATCTTCTTGGAACCCGTCCTCAACCCCACAACCCACTTTACTCCCTCGCTCTTCCTACCGTCCACCTCGCCATTCCCTAGAGTGGATACTATGAAAACTTTTCCTACTTGCATGGAAGATTCAACAGTGAGTGTGATGCGGAGGGCGACTATTCCAAATTTTGTGCCTCTAAAACCCTCTTCGGTGCTAAAGTGAAACGGTAGCAGACTAAAGAAGGGGGGGGGGAGCAGATACATGACTCGTTGCCATAGGTAAATCGCAGAAATAAGAGAGGGATTTTACACAGCTTGCATTCGAGCGTATTGTCGACTTTCCCTTCAGCGACACCCAGGCATGCTTGCGGCTCTTCTCTTCGAATCCAGCAAAAACGATATCCCCTTTGCTTTACCCCCGAAAACGATATCCCCTTGACCTGGTTCCAGCTGTGCCGAGCTCTGCTCAAGGGCTCGGGTATAGTTCACGCGATTTTATCGCCTCGCGATTCTCCCAAGAAGACAACTGTTACAACTGTTAGTCACGATTGGTCGTGTTGGAGAACTAAATGCGTGAACTTTGCCCGAGGCCTAAAGCGTACCTCGCGATCTCGATCTAGACTCGGCACTGCAACAACTCCTCAGGGATCGTTCAGACCGCGCACAAAGGCGCACAAAGGCGCACGAAGGCGTACAAAGGCGCACAAAGGCGCACAAAGGCCCCGTATGTTTGTCTTCATTATCGATCGAATTGAAAAACAAGGTTTGTGCGCATTCGTGCGCCTTTGTGCGCCTTTGTGCGCGGTCTGAACGATCCCTCATTATGGCCGTAAGCGCCTGCCGAGGATTGGTGCGTTTCCGAATGAGAAAGCTATGCGCTTATATTTGATAGGTTTCGCAAAGTAAGCCAATGTCTGTAATCTCTGCTAACAGCTGGCAGATCGCCAAGTTGCATAGTCCACTATGTGATGAATCGCAAGAGAAAGGCTATGCATGACGAAGGCGCAGAAACAGTATAAGTTGAGCGGGCGCGAACGCAATGCGCGCGTATCTTCACCGTTTCAATTCTGCGCCTCGTGCGCTCTGCGGCTAACAAGGGCGCCTTCGTCATGCCACAGCCTTTATGTCTTAGGCCTAACAGAGCTATTTTCAGCCAGTAATCGTGCTTATCTTTTTTTCTGCGGGCTTTCTGAGTTGCGATCTATAGAATGTTTTACTTCAATGAAGCTAAAATGTTTGCTTTAATAGAGCAAAGTTCGTAAGAAAGAGGATCTAGTTACAAGAAAAGCATAAGCCGGAAACTGCTGTGAGAAGCTCATTCTCGACCTACCAATGTCTGTAATTTCTTTAACAACGTCGTCGCCTGTGCCGATGACGCCTTCTATGTCATCATTAGTGAGGTTGAGTGCAGCTTTTATGACAGTCGAGTTTTGTGTGTTTGAGACAAGCGTGGTTCTCTTGCCAATCCCGTTTTGTTTCATCATGTTCACAAACTTCGTCGTTTCTGGATCCAGAACTCTAAAGCAATGCAGTTGATGCTATCTTATTCCCGACAGTTGGCATCGTTCAGATGAAAAACTCACGTGCAGTTGCATGGGATAAAATGAAATAAGATATCCCTAGTCCTTCCTTTGGTTTTCTCGAGAAATTGTTCGATCGCGCTGAAACTCATACTTAAAGGACCTGATCAATCCCTAAAGAATGTCACTTTTACTAGATTGACAGCTACAGTACTCGCCTTGATAAGAAAAGGCAATCTTACACTAAGAAATCCCTTACTTAGACAGCAGATAAGTGCAATAAAGAACATCAGAGAAAAAACTCGGAATCCGCATTTGGGAGAACGAAGACTCGAAAAATTTGAAAAAAATGTGTTCAAGACTACTCACGCGGATTGATTCGCTATAAATTGCGATTTGGATTGGGTAGACTTCAATTCATCCACTGCGTCGCGAGCTTTTAGTGGTTTAGTCACTTGCACTTCGTCACCGTAGAAAATAAAACTATATCGTTGGTCAATATCCTTCCTTTTAGCAATTTCACCAATCGCATTTTCGGTGTTATTTTTATTCTGAAAATCAAAACCATAATAGCCTGGAGATAGGGAAGACTACTGTAGTTCAAAATTTGTCAAGCAAGTCTGTTATGTCACACAAAAGGACACGGTGTATGCCCTGTTGTTCGCCTTGTTTTTCCCATTCAGAGACTGTCAGTTGACAGCACGAGCACCTTCGATGTAAACAAGCAATGGCTATTCTTCTCCAACTTCATTTCGAATTCTTACCCACCGGGCTCTCCATACATTATTATGTGAAATAAGCTATGACCTCTAATGCTATTCTTGAAATTGCACAGTGCTCAAAATGAACGTTCTTACCCCGTAAAATGAGGTTGTAATCCCTTGACGATTAGAAATTTTTTCCATTTCAGAGACATAACGCTTACGGAGTCTTTATATGCTGTGAAAAAGATCGGAATGTCAGGTAAGCTTGCTGATCCTCTTATCTTTAGACTTATCTATCTATTTTTTTCAGTAAATGTTAATCCTCTCATTTTTTTTGTTTTCTATCACTAACACTTCCAACTGCTGCAGAAAGCTTCAGCAATGAAAATGTTTTGAGAAAGACTCTCCGGTACTCTGGAGGGACCTTTAGATGTTGCAATTTTCAGAAAGCAATGCTATAACTTGCAAGCTCTGAATCACTTTTGGGTTTTATAATTTTTTACGTAGTGTGCTGACGTGCTGGTAGAAAAAGAATTTCATCTAGTTGATCATATAATTAGCAATAAAAAAATAGCCAAATAGCACGTACACTTTTATTATAGCCCCAGTTAATCCTAGTGTTAATCGTATGATCGGCTTTCCCCATTTTCTCTTCAGGATTATCTATCTTAAAATGTAAAGCACTTTCGACCTCCGTAATGTTTGACGTTTATGTCGACTGATATCAAATACGAGGTACTGCCATAAGATGCAATTAACAAAATCAAAGGATCAAATAATGTTTCTGTAAAACCTATCAGTGTTACAAAAAGAATCAGGAACGTACCGTTTCAAAATTACAAGAAGTTGTGTGATTATTTATTATGTAACCAAGAGATCGTTTGAATCGTAGAGGAGGCCTTTGCTCTCCATCTCCTATGTACATAGAGAAATACACTATCCTGGTATCTGAAAGTTTTTGTTGTTATTCTTATTGCTGTCATATCATCATAAGTTAAGATATTATTTGTTAAAGGCAGCGTCCACCGAAATTTTGCCTCCCATGTCTTTACCATTCTGAGGCCATTCCATAGCCCTTACATTTGTAAAGTTCAAATTGTCGTAAACCCCCAAGAGAGCCGATTTTTGGGGACCCCATCTTGAGGGCGCGGACGGCTTTCATTACGGAAGTGGGCGGAGCTTGATAGGACCTGGGCGCCTGGTAGCACCTTGGCTGGTCTAGGCCCATTACCTCCATTCAGAGATAACGTTAGAGGACCGGACCAATGCAGATGCCCCTTTCCTGGGGTCTAGATACAGGATCAGCACTGATCGGAGGGGTTAGGTTTAGCTTGGGCACTGCCTTTGAGTGGATCTCTTTTGGAAGAAATTTCGGTGCCGACCAACCAGAAAATTATGCTACTTCTTTCCGGTGAAATTCTCACACACGGAGACAGAAGCCTATTTGCACAAATAGTATATCAAAGCTTTTCAGTAATGTGGAAAATTTGTATCGAAGAAGAAAGTTTAATGGAAAAAAAAGTTGTTCGAAAAAGACGCCTAGAAAAAGGGTATTATTTTTGCACGAACTTAATAGAAATATTAGGTCGTTCCATAAGTTCGTAGCGTTATTATTTTTGTCATTCTTTTCTGGCCGAGCGTTGACAGCAAAGTATCTGTATTCAAGAGAGCCAAATTTGCTCTACAAAACCTGCTTTTTCTTTTCGAAGCAGTTCTGATAATCTTTAGTTTATAACGGCTAAAGCAAACTTTTGAGTGGCAGAAAGTGGCGATTTTGACACCTGTACTTTTCGCATTTCGCCCATATCCCACAAATATTTCTCTGCAAGTATAGTCGGAGTAGCTAGTAGCAAGCAATGCTGATGTGCAGGCACAATGGTGTCCAGCCAATATGCTAAGAACTGTTTGAACGAGGGCTCAATAGTAATCTTCCCGTCTTGCTATCAGGAGTTGAGCGATAAACAGCTTTGTCTAACAAAGTAAGTGTCAGAAGGGCAGTGGCCTTTTGACATGAGATAGGTATCATCTAAAGCAGCTTGAAACGCTGATTTTAAAAAAAATTTTTAGCTGCGGAACGAATCTGGGTTGGGAGTCACTGAATTTAATCCGCAGGTATCTTACAACGCCGATTGCAGCCAAACTACCAAGCCCTTGTATCTTGGGCTTAAAATTAAATGAAGAAGTTTATCACCGCTTAATGTAATTCTACTCGTCCTGCAATGTTGTGCTTAACAATCATTCGAACGAATTCCGTGATCATAGAGTACCTTCAAACAGTGTATAATTTGGCGGTTGAAATGCCCATAATCCCCGACCCAGACTCGTTCTGCAGCTGAGGAAGGCTGTTTCGTTTCAATCTGCTTCCGACAGTACCTATCTCATATCAAAAGACCACTGCGACTTTGACACTTCCCTTGTAAGTGTCGCAAAAGTTTCAACACAAGCGCTGACCAGAAACCGCTGCGCGTTTACGCTTTCCCAGGAAATTTTGGCTCAAAGAACCCCCTCATTCCCATCAAACGCAAAACATCTACACATAATATAAAAGTGCACTCTATCCTTTTCTGTAGCGTCTCCCTTGGCAAGAGCTCTACTTTTATGTGCACCATAGTTCGGTAAACAGCGTTCCTCATCACTCATAACAATGTCAATGGGAAACCCTTTGATGATTTCCGTATATGGGGCCGAAGATACAGATTTCGAAAACGCCGTTTTTTGCAACACAAAAGACTTTGCTTTAAGCAGTCAGAAAACGAAGATCACTAGGTTTGCTTCGAAAATAAAACGCAGGTCCTGTAGAGCAGAATTGGCTCCTTCGCGTAGAGATACTTTGCCGCTTAAACAAACCGCCTCACCACGAAACGACGACAAAAATGAAAACGCTGCGAGCTATAGAGCGACCCTAGCGATTCGACTGATTTTTTCTTACGTTTTCTGTTCGTTAGGCCCAAACTTTTCTGACCAGTATCACAAACTATTGAAAAATCTTCTAATTGCACGCATGATTGCAGCCGTAGGCTCGGTGATGTTCGAAAACGAGAACATCAGGGACTCTAGAAAACCAGATTCCGGAGCCTATCATGATTTATATCTCTGTTCGCATTCACATTTACCTTAACGTTCAGGACTTGCTTGTATCATATCTATTCCGAGATTCATTTTTCTTTTTTCATTTGGTGCAACCTTGAAGTTACGCTAAGAATATAGCAGATGACATGTTAATCCCTTCATTTTTCGATAACTAATGGTACGGTATAGCGCTATCAAAATTTCCTGTTTTTCTTCAGTTTTCGTTGATAAGTAGTTCGAAGGTCATTGAAAGTATTTCAAATTCCGCTTCTGTCACAGAATTTTGACAGGGTGTGACTCAATAGTTCGAGAAGTTTAAATGAAAAGCTAAGAAGTTAACATAAAAAGTTTGAAAAGACACCGCAGCAAGATCTTGTGCAAGATTTCATCGTCGTTGCAGTAGCTGAAGCTGCCTTGCTCGTGGATTCATAAGCTTTTTGAATCAGTACATTATCCGTACTTTGTGACGTCCTAATTATCTTTACGAAAAGGCAACGAACAGCATCTGGATGAACTGAGCTATTGTTAAGCCTATAAACGCCGAAAAGTTTGCAGGTCATAACACCTATGATTTTTCAATGAAATTATTATAACGACAGCGTTTTGGTGAAAGAGTAAGTTTTTTGTTCAAAGAAATGGGTTGTGATAACAAAAGAAAAATGAAAAGACAACAAAAAGATTTTGATGGTTTGCCTGACAACTTTGACACCTTCACTCTTGACCCATAATATTTTTGACAGCTTATTTGACATATTGAGGTGACTCATCTGATAAGTACGTCTTAAATCTTGGTGAGAGTTAAAACATTTCTCCAAGGAAAAATTGGTTTGATCTTGGAGAAGCGAGAAGCCACTTTTCAACTCGGAAAAGTCACGAATAAAATCAAACTGAACAATCCAATGGATAGAATTCATACCTTTCTGGCTCGGTGACGACCTTCCAGAAAGAACGACGGTTAATATCACGGCTAATGTCGCACCAACAATAAGTACAAGCAGAAATAGCGCATTCCATGTTAATTTACCTGAAACATTTTCTTTGAAATTTGAAGGAGTCAGAAAGGGATTGAATAAAAAAAAGTCCCTTTCTTTTTTGTGCAGGGATCTACCATATTGTGCATGTTGTGTTTCGCGATTTGATCTTTATAGGGCTTTTTGCACATACTTTTGTTCTATGATGAACTCTCACGACAAAATGGCCTGATTCTAATCAGCACATAAAAAAAGTTCATGATACCATTTTTTCGAGGATTTTTTGTAGGCGTTAATCAAGTAAAATGTCTAACAATTTTCGACGGTGAGCGAATCAAATTATGTCAAAAAGTGAGCTGAGTCTTCTATAAACCCAACTTTTTTCACCATCAGTGACCAAAACTAATATACTGTCATTCCCACTTTGTCTTACATTTCCCTTTCGAAATTAGGTGAAAGCAACAAGATTTGAAAGCTAGTTTATCGCCACATTTTGGTTGATAAGACGAGAACAAAAAATGACACGGCTTAGTCACATGCCTTTTTTTTTCGATTGTCGACGATTCAGGAAAGGTCTGGGCGCGGCACTCGAAGGTAAACACGTCGTTAAAATTTTTGAAAACCTTTTGTTTTGAATCTTTGTCACCGACCATTATTTGATCATAATATTATTTTGATCGAACTGCTTTATACGAGTGACATAGTTTCCTCCAAAATATATTTTGAGGGCCAATAGAATCAAATACAAAGAGGCGACAGATAAATGGGCACATTATGAATGGGCTCATTAGCATTAGCGGTGATCAGTTTTAGACCTACAGTTAATAAATATTATCAAAGAGCGGATTGTTTAGAATTTTCATTCCCCCCCCCCCCTCCCGTTTTCGATTCTTGACTAATAATCTAGAGGCGCCGCCAGAAGTGAGATCTTCAAAGTTTCTATCTAAATTTTGGAAATTGATTTGAATAAAGATTGAATGGGAATGCAAGATTTAGAAAAGGTGCTTGCCATTCGCAATGCCTTTCATAGACGAAAAATCGGGGAGAACTCGTAAACTCCCTTTATCTCAAAATCTGTGGACCCACAGTATTTGGTGTTTACGAAAGCCCATAACAGCATAATCTTTACAAGTGGCCAGGTATCGTGACCAGTCACCGACTTTTGATGTACCTTTACTACAATTATAACTTGTAAAGTCAAAAAGTGATCTTTTGGGAGGAAGCCATAAATAGCTAAATTGTTCCTTCTTGACAGAACCTTCTAATCAGTTGGCATAAGATGGTATAAGCTTAGCGGTACGTCCTCAAAAAATATGTCTTTGATAATAGTTGGAAGTAGTTACGAACTTGCACAGAGTATCTCAAACCCGTCAGTATAAATTACTTTTTATCCAATTAATGATAAGCTAATAGAACAAGTACTCTAGTGCTGATGGAATGCAAACACAAAGGGCATTCTGCAGTCGTATCTCATCCCATGTACGTCTTTTTGCAGAGTTATTACTACTATAAAGTCGTAGACGAAATGAGTTTCGTGACAGTTGTGTTCACTATAGACGTCGATACATAAACATTTTGATCTTTGCCAAAAATTGTGGTTATTTTTCATAGAAGCCAGCAAGCGTAAACTTCAAGAAAAAACAAACATTTTAAAATTGAGACTTGCCATGAGTTGGTTACTGCAGTACTTTCACAACCTCTCTGTATCGCAAAAACTTCACAATTTCTACATATTCTTCTGGGCTATGGCCTAAGGCAATTTTGAACGTCCTCAGAAATCAAAATGATTTAAATGGATGAAATGAAAGGGAAAAGGGATGGTATATGATATATGCAGCTCTTCTCTTTAGGTTTTGAGTTTGGAAAGTAGACACGAAATACATATATGCTAAATATATTTTCTTACATCTTCCTAGGTATGCAAATAAACTCCTGCGATTATTTCTGTCGCTATCGTCCTGCTCGGCCCCATCCACCGGATACCTGTACGGGATCTCCGGAACATCCAGGGCTGGTGGTGCAGGTAGCCAACCTCGTCCAATATTTCGAGCCGTCTCGCTGTGGTACCTAAAAGGTATTTAATCACGTAATAATAAAGGGTGCTTGAAAGTTACCATAGACAACCAATCATATTAAAGTTAGACCATATGTTTGAGATTATGTTCAATCATTCAAAGAAGAGATAACAAACAAAGACAAAAACATTTTTGAAAAGGTGGACTGAAAGTGGGAGATCAACATGTGTGAATGAAGGTAAGAAAATGAGAAGGAAAGGAGTCATATAACAATGTGGTTAAACCAATTCAACGCATACTGCGGACGACAAATGAAACTATGCTTATTGGAAGTAAGGCTAACCTTGTCAACTTTAGCCTTAAATGAGTAACTTTCAGTCAAATTTGTTAGCTGTGATTGTGAACTAATGACTAAGCTTGTTCAAAATCGGAATGAATCAGAGTATTAAAGAATAATGAGAATGTGAAAGCGTTTCTTCTTAAGGAATTGCAAGCACTGATGAAGACTCACCCAACACTCCGCCGCTGAGTTCAGTACACTGAGCCTTTTCAAAGCATCCGTTATCAAACCGCGTGTTTCTTCAATGGCGATGTAGGTGATCGTGAAACCCTTATCGTTAGGTGTGACTCTGCTGTCATACTGTAACACAATAGTGCAATCACTCGAATTGAAAGAGCCTTACTCTCATTGAGGTTCCTCCTCATACATTCGAAATTAGACTGAACAAATTTTTCTTTTTTTGCTCGCATATTTTAACCCACTGACAACAACGTGATCCATAGGTAAATCGTGATCGTTGAGATAGGTTTCTGCGATGTACTCGCTCCAAAGCCCTTTACTCCAATGGTTGAAGCCTTTATATTTTCGTTGACTATTTGGAGCTACTGTAGTTGTACTCTGCAACCTGCGTATTTCAGCTAAATTTGGGACCTATATAAAAGGCTTGATCCACAAGGCAGATGACTATGAATGTGAGTCGTGGAAGTTTAAACATTTTTATTGTGAGAGTAATACCCCTGTTAAGCCAGGTTGAGCAATAGGCCGTGATAATCGAGAATTGGAGGTATTTGCGAATGAGAATCGGCTTAGCTCCGCCTTTATAGGCTTGGTACGAAATTTGAAAGAAGAAAAGCTTATTTCGACACTTACATTCAGCTAATCAAGTTTTGCTTTTCCTAAGACCTAAGGTAATTTAATCGCGAGTCCAGTCTTTGCATGCTACGGACAGTAACGAATCTTTGCAACAAATCGCAAGCGCGCTCTGTTTGAGCAAGGCTTACGCTTGTGATAACTCAGAAATGCTACGTGTGTATGTGCAAATAAGAGGCGTCTATGCTAAGTCTGTAAGCCTCTGGTAAGTCGCGAATGTGACGAAACTACGGAAAGTAAGCCTTAGGCGTAAGCTTATCAGCTTTTTGCAGGCAAAACTGGCAAACGTGCAGATTGTTGATATTGTCGCGAAGAAAAACAAGTCACATGTGAGTTTTCCATTAACTAGGGAAGATAACCAACGCATGGCGTTCTGGAAAGGAATGTGTGTTTGGCAACTGCTCTCAAAAAGCTGATTTAACCTGCCCGTATAAGGTAAGGTGAGCGGTTTTTAGGAATAACTCATGGACATTTCACAATTCTGATTTTGCTTGTATCAGCGGCAAATGTACTACAGGAGGGGGTTCAAAACCACTTATTTAGATGTTTAGTCTGTTTTCTCCTACTCAACATTTCCAACATCGTACCAATGACGCGCTTTCAACCTTCCTTTGAAGCAGGACACACGGGGAGACCAACAACTTTAGACCTTCAAACGCCTATCTTTCTTTTAGGTTCTGTAAATAAAGGCTGCAATTAGAGGCACCGTTTTAAGCTGATTTTCGTTGTATTGTCGGTGCTACTTGTGTCCTTCCTTCCCTTGTGAGTCTGGCATCGTCATTCACTTGTCTCTTATGCCTCATAGAGGCAATCCCATAATCTTTATGAGGGATGGTTTGACAAACCGCATTCTTTCAGCGACTTATGCAATTTTACCATAACTGTAATCTTCACGATGACTAAGGAGTCTGCGAGTTGATAAAAAGAAGGAAGTGTTATAGAGGTGACTCAAATGACGCCGAAAGCAGTGAACGAGTTTAACAACCTTTTTATCGTTCAAGCATTTGAATCGCATTAAATTTGCGTTGCTTATACTTATATATGCATTCCTTCTGCGGCTCAGCCACCTACAAGGTAATCTGGCAAGCAGCCCAAAGGAGAATCCTAAAAGTAGTGGTTGTTGAGATTTTTGTGCTCCCAAAAAAGTGGAGGTTTGAGTGCAACTTATGGATGAAAAAACTATTTTGTTCTGCTGATACAGACCTCAACTCGAAGAAGAGTAATTGACGCGTTGTTTGTAGTTTTCTATATTTCTAGTCTTCATTTCCGGCGCTTATCGCCGCTTTGTTCTTTCATATTGTTTCGAGTTGGACCTTGAGGAAAAAAAAAAGGCTGCGAGATTTTCTGGAGCACTTTGAAGATAAGGCGCTTTTTGCAGGTTTTCTCAATAAAATAATACTAGCTGGCTTACCCGGCTCCGCCGTATCCGGACCAAACTTGGCACACATACACTTCGGGCCCCGGCGTGTCACAGTCCACTTTTCGTTATCGATCGATGTCGATTTTACCGATTTTTATCGATTTTTTGGCAGAGTTCACCTACAGGGCTAGGAGTTGGCACAGGGGGGAAGTGAGCATGGGGATTCCGAATACAATATTAGTTTTCAGAATTATCGATTGCTTTTATTGATTTTATCGATTTTTTGTAAATTTTGACATGCGAGGCTGGGATTTTGCACAGGGGGGTAATCGAGCATGCTGATCACGAACACAATATTAGTTTTCAGGATCGTCCATTACTTTTATCGATTTTATCGATTTTTGCAAAGTTTGACCTGCGGGGCTGGGAGTTTGCACAGAGGGTAATCGAGCATGCAGATTACGAATACAATATTAGTTTTCAAGATCGTCCATTACTTTTATCGATTTTATCGATTTTTTGAAAATTTGAGCTAGGGGGCTGGAATTTGGCACAGGGGTGTTCGAGCATGCTGATCACCCCCCTTGGGGATGATCAGCATGCTCGATTACCCCCCTGTGCCAACTCCCAGCCCCCTAGCTCAAACTTTGCAAAAAAATCGATAAAATCGATAAAAGTAATCGATAATCCTGAAAACCAATATTGTATTCGGAATCCCCATGCTCGATTACCCCCCTGTGCCAACTCCCAGCCCCGTAGGTGAACTCAGCAAAAAAATCGATAAAAATCGATAAAATCGATATCGATCGATGACGAAAAGTAGCCTATGACACCCGCCGGGGCCCGTAGTGTATGTGTGCCAAGTTTGGTCCGGATCGGTTCAGAAATGGAATTTTCTATTCGGAACATACGTACAGACATACATACATACAAACAGACATTCAGCTTTATATATAAGATGAGTGAGAAAATAAGGTCTGTTATTCATTATACAATTATCGCTCGTAAAATGTGAAAAAAAAACACCACACTCTTCCAAAGTTCGGCAAACTTCGCGTTGCATTGCCATACCTTGCTTCAGACTGGACGGATTCTGAATCTAAAAATACCTCAACGCTCGATGAGTTGCATCTTTTGATATATAAAAGTGCTTGGTGTATGTTTATAATGGAATACATAGAAGGGCTAACAACGCCGTGAGCTCGCCGCTCTACAAAGAAGTACATCAGCCTCTTTGCGGAGGCTCCTGCAATCTATAGTAGTTGTATTCTGTAGTTGGTCATTTTCTTTAATTCTATCCAGTCCACACATCGATTGTGCAAAAAACTCCCATGTTCCTTTGAATTTTACAGGAACCCCTCAAAGAAAATTTGAAAATGCAGTTCTATGATGCTGAATATCGCCCCGTCGCTTAAACTGTAGACGATTACGCCTGCATTACAGGCCCTTTCGCTACTCTAGATATCTTTCATCTTCCTTCTCTTCTTGCTTATGAAGGTTCTCATACCCTTATACCTGCGCATAATGAATTCCAAGTTACTGCCACACGAGATTGGTTTTTTGCCATTATGTGTCTTTCTCTCTCTTGCTCATGAAATTGATGCCGGGTTACTTCCATACAAGATTGGTTTTTTGCCATTTTGTGTATTCCCAAGGGATCACCGCTCATTTTCAGAGTGATTTATCTTCCTTAGAAGTCAATGAAACCGCTGCAAAGTTGTACTGTGGATACACTACGGCACTGCTGAGCAAGCATGTTTTCGACAGGAAAGTGGAATCTAAAGATTGTGAATTTTCGATAATCCCTAGTTCGTGGGCAAGTGGTTCTCGAAAATTTCGATATCTGAGATTTTAATTATTTCTGCTATAAACATGTTTAGCAGTACCGTAGTAAATCCTCAGTACATTGCAGCATTTTTATTGATTTTCAGGTAGATAAATGACTTTGAAAATGAGAGGAGATCCCAAGGGAATCCCCAAGAGATCACACAACGAAACACGACAACTGTAGCCGTCCTTCTCTCAGTAGACAGGTAGTGGACGATTTCGAGTTTGAACTAGACCACGCCGATTATGGCGGAGACGGCACTCAAGACCCTCACTTAGATCTCAATTAAAATTTTTGTTTTTTCTCGACGTTTCTTTCTACTTGTTAAATGTTAGCACTCTTCTCAATTGGGATTGAAGATTTTGTTGCCGAGCGATGTTTCGTGCTGCTATATTCATTTCTTTAACCCTAACTTTAGGTTAAGCTTCGAGCAACACTAAGTTTGAAAGTTGTGCTAATGAAATCTTTTTTCGGTAAGTAACAGTGTCTCGAAGTACATCAGCTCAGCCTTTTCCCAGCTTTCAGGGGTTGGGGACCTTCGAAAATTTGAGGAGCACCCCAAAAATTTTTCGGAGTGCGTGGCTAACTCCACGCACCTTCATTTGGAACCCCTCCCCGGTCCGAAATCCCGGGACCGCCACTGCTTAGCAGCTATCATTTGCAAGCAAAAAAATGTTTTGAAAGGAGAAGTAGCAAAAAAATACGGGTTAAAACCAGGGTTGAGCGTGGGTTCAGGCGCGCCCGACCCGAGGGTCGTATTGGGGTAAGAGCAAGGGGGGAGGGGGGGGGGGTGTAACGAAGAAGCGACTTTGTTCAAAAAAATGAGCAAAAACAACGATCGAGCAAGGTGAAAAAGAAAAGGGTTGAACCTTGAATTTTCGCAACTCTAAGAGGAGTGACTTTCGTATACAGCATGCTGCTTAAGTCGACTAGCGAAGTCTCAGCCAAATTCCAATTCCTCTACCTTACACATGCCGTAAGATCACCAAAGATGCTTTTTATGTAAATTGGTATGATTTCCGTAATCTGCATGCCAAATCACCTTAATGAGCTTTACAAACCATTATCTATTACATTTTCTAGTGTATCCTAACGTCAAAAAGCATGGGATTAACTTGGTCACAAAGAAAGAAGTCAGCTTTTCTCTGTTATCATAACGAAGTATTGCTCTTGATCAGTCTAAGGTAGAAATTGGACTTCATATCGCTCTCAAATAATGGATTACGAAGTGCTGCCAGAATGTTAGTTACTGCGTTTTCTACCTCGGGTGCTTATATTCCACCGATCACCACAAAGCCCAAAACAAGTCGAGGTAAGCTCAAACACCTACTGTAGAATCTTCGAGGTTTATGCCAGCAAATCACATAAAACCAAGAAGGAACTTCTTAGGGTGATAAAGTTAATCGGCCAGGCGCAGTCTCTCAAAAGGTCAGGCTGCCTGAGCTTTTGAGGGGTTACGTATGACCCCTTAACTTGCGTACATGATCCAGAAATCGCTCCATTCCTGGTAGGAGTATTGAACTCATAGCTTCTTCTTTCTAAAGCGGAAATTTGGAGCCGAACGCCCCCACCTCTAGAAGAAGTACAGCCCTTTAAAGGCCCATTCAGATAAAATCAGCCGTCAAATCACATGTGACAAAGTGCGGTCACAGAAAATCGAGCGTATAGCTCCGAAAATCTGAAAATTCCCTAGAAAAGAATGTCTTCCAGAATGTCATACCCTAAGTTCCGGAGGTCAAAAGAAGGAAGAAGGGTTGTCAAAGAGCTTCCATGGGGGGGGGGGGGGGTTGTTTTCGGAAAATTTGTGTCTGATCTTGCTCAACTCTGGTTGAAACTACGCATGCGACGCGCAAGAGAACCATTGTCATTTTGTAGCACCTTTAATTACTTCTTTCATCTCTCTTGGCCGATATTTTGTCTAAAAAATGTAGAAAATAATATGGGCCTAAGATTTTTCATCTGCAAATCTTATAATCGGAAAAATTTATCTTTATCACAAGCAAAATCAAGTTACCGAGGTATACAGTTATAGACTCTGGGACATATGCCTTGCGGTGCCGAGGCTTTGCGCCCTGTATTTATCAACAAATGTATTGGTATGCAGCTCATATCATCTTCAAATTTTCCGAGGTTTGTTTACGGGAGAGTCCTTTCAACTTACGTCTTCTCCGCTCTACGTTCCCCGCTCCCTCATCCCCTCTCCTCTCCCATTCCCAAAACCTATACATGTACATTCTTCATCAAGGTTGACGATAAGATGTAACTTGATGGTTTGCTTCCATTAGTACTTCATAGTTCTGGCATTGGCATTCTCAGACAGCCGATCGGACCCCTCCGGCGCAGAAATGACAGGGCCGCGGGTTTTCCCAGCGGTGGGTCTGCCACTCGTGCGCCGGAGCCCCCCGATTTTGTGCGCCGGAGCCCCTTGATTTTGTGCACCGAAGCCCCCCGATTTTGTGCTCCGCAAGTCTGCCGCGGCATACTGTAATTAGCCCTAATTAAGCTCCAAACCCCAATTTTGTCTCTAAACCCCACCCAAATTAGCCGAATACGACCCCCCCCCCCCCCCGGGTAGGACTTCAGCGTGACCCTCAACCCCGTTCTTTACTCGCAGAGTGCTGCAACATTCGATCAAATCTTACAGTTCAGAATAGGCTTGGGTCACAGGATACATGAATTTTGTGGGAGAAATAGGAGCCAATGACAAAAGACTTATATTCAGATCGGAATTGGCTTGCGTGTCTGTTACGTTCAAGGTAAAGTTACGCGTTTCCTGCGAGGTACTCTCAGCGCACATTCCGCGATCCGGAGAAGAGAAGCAGCCCGAAAAGCTGCTAACAAGAAAATGCCTATTTGCAAAGTTGATCAGAGAGTCAAATTTCCCAATTTTTTGTAGTAAATGATCTGTCATGAGAAGTCAAAGACAACTGAGAATTTTTTTTCTGTCAGAGAGTACAGAAAAGAAATAAGCTTGCAACAGCTGGTTAATAGCGCGAATAGGAAGACTGAGCTAGTATCAAAATCGGTCATGCGGACGCGATTTTGAGAAAATGAGTAGAAGGAAATAAAGTTTGACGCACTTGAAATACATGTAGCCGAGAAGAGATGCAATGGTCCGAGAGGTGTCTAGATATGGCTTCACATCCGCATGTGACAGAAATCTGAAATAGTAAGTGCTTGCCGGCAGTTATACACATAATAAGACCATTTGAAAAGTCCTTCCAATGGCTAGAGCCATACAACCGGCTGTAAATTTTGCGTGCCAATCTTGCTGGCACCCATCTACAGTCGAGTGGATTTCCCGCTCAATATAGTGTGCTTGCACAGAAGGTGAAATGCGGTAAAATTTGCGCGTAAAAGATAGTTTCGACTGAGACGCCGGCCGATCGCGGGCGCAAAATGCCGGCAGTACTGGCATGGCTACTTCTTCACGCGCAAGTTTTATCGCATTTCACCTTCTGTGCAAGCACACTATATTAAGCTGGAAATCTACTCGACTGTATATAACTAAAGTGTGATTAGTTGCGTGAAGTCTATGCAGGTGAGATTTACTTGCAATATTTTGCATGAAGATGCGTCGCTTTGAGATTGCAAGAAAATTCTTGAAACTGTTGAAATTTTGAAACTTTCGTCATTGCGGTAGCGCAGAACGACATTACAACAGTGCCTCTAATTAAGGCAATCAGTGAAGCCGCACCTGTTCGGAAATTCATGTAGCTAGTCTTACCTACGACCCACCCCTCCCCACTGCAGACCTATCTGAAATACTCCTTCATTTTTATTTCCAAAACCTCACAGCGTGGCACTGCAGGAGAAAAGTCTGTAATAGGAGATTTTGACTCGAAGTGTACGTCTAACTTTCTAACTTTCGCACATCCCCAGGGTGACTGACTTAAACTGTAATCCTCTGGAGTTAGATCGTAATCGAATCGCACCCCTATTTCCGCGGAAAAAAAAACGAATAACATTGAAGAACTCCGAATCATAGATAAAAAAGTAAATTCTGACAAAGCATCAACTTGATTGACGTCGAAACGATCTAGTAATCTGAGAGGGATATAAGGCATTAAACATGATTAGGCATTAAAAAAGGTTTACTCACAGAGAATCGTTGTCTCCTTCACGCAAAGCTTCGCGAGCAGGCACATCAATAGGTAGAGAACCAGGCTAGTCTTGGACGCCCTCGAAAGTCGTACCACTCTTAGGGCGGTAGCATTCCCCAATGCTAATCATCTGTATGATCCGACCCGTTAAAGTCGGGATCTGTCACTCTGGCTACTTTTCAGTGACTTTAGTTGGGTTTGCAACATGAGATAGGTTTAGAGAATGGAAGTGTGATAGTGTATTATCAGCAATAATTGATTATCTTTGTCAATCCGGTTGTTTATGGCGCGCCTAGAGTGCATTTTTAAATAAATAAATAAATAAGTCCATCAATGCCTGGCACAGGTAGGCCTGCAAGCTCGACTGCACCAACATTCCACATCAGCCATATGGATAATGCCAGAAACAAGAGATGAGCGAGAACAAGAAATCGCTGAAAATACACCTCGATAAGTGGCTCATTGGACTTTGATTCAGATGTAGATATCAGATATCAGATATAAAATTGCCTAGAAACCCTAACGCTTACCTTAGCATGCATCTGCTCGAAAAGCCACAGTTAATGTTCGGAACGAGCTCAAATTAATCAGAAATATCACTCCATCAAAAGTCAACGATGTCTCAGCAAGTCTATGAGAGCCAAACACTGAAAGTGATTGAGTGTATCCGCACGAAAATTTGAAACATAAACCTGAAAACGAGGAACTTACAACAACATAAACGCCAACGCGACGAAGAGCAACGCGGAAAAGAAAAAGAACGGTAAAGAAACGCGGAAAAACAACAAAATCAAAGAAACAACGACTAAAATATGAAGAAAGAGCGTAAACAGAGGACTCATCACCGTGGAGTTAGACGTTTGCTTGGCTACGCGCCAAATCGATACGCAGCCTGCTCCGGAGCCCTCCCATTTGTGCTCCGGGGCCCTCCCATTTGTGCTCCGGGGCCCTCCCATTTGTGCTCCGGAGCCCTGCCATTTTCTGCTCCGGAAGTGTCCCATTTTCTGCTCCGGGGCCCTCCCATTTGTGCTCCGGACCCCTCCGATTTTCTGCTCCGCGGCTCGTCCAAATCTGGCAGACTCGCGGCGGGCTAATCTCTCCGCCGCGGCTCTGCCAAACCTGGCGTACCTCCGGAGCAGAAATGGCGTACCTTTGGAGCAGATCCGGATAAGGGTCCCACTCGCCTGCCGGTGACGTCACCGTGACCTACAAGAGGGGACCGCCCCCTCGCCCCGCTCTCATTGGTCAACTGGGTCCGGCGCGACTCTGGCAGATTTCGACTGTCCGCCGGAGGGGTCCGATCGATTGTCTGAGTTGTTTAGACTAATCGAAAATTGTCCAGATTTTCTGAAAGCGACGAACCTCGAAATTTACTAAAGTCGCCTTCAACATACCCTGTAGCTATAGCCGACAACACACATATGACACAGCTTAGTTAGTCAGAGCAATTCATTTGACACGATATCTCTCTAAGAAGCTTAATCGGGTGTGGCAATCGAAAAAAGCCATAAAATCCGGATTTTGTTTCCTGCATCATTGCTCGAATCAGGAAGACAGCAAAGTTTTTTGTTCCGTTTGTCATTGCGTGCCTGTTACAGTCAGAAAATAAGGACGCGCGAGTGCTTTAAATGGGTCTATGAATATGTGTAAATGCAAAGAGCATTGTGTGAAAATATGCTTCTGAAAATTTGAATAAATAAAAATTAAAAACGCACATATTCTGCATGAACACCAAGACACCCGATCGTCAAGTTAGCTGGTCTGCTGCTGTAACTGTTGAAGAAAGCTGAATATCTGTTTGTTTGTGTGTATTTGTGTCTGTGTGCATGTCCTCCCGTACTAGATATGTTCCGAATTAAAATTCATATTTCTGAACTGATCCGGACCAAACTTGGTGTACATACGATTCAGGGCGGGACGTGTGTCGACTACTTTTCGTCATCGATCGATATTGATTTTATCAATGTTCGCAAGGTTATACTTACGAGGTTCAGAGTTGGCACAGAGGAATTGAGTATGCTGATTATGAAGATATTGTTAACAGGACCAGGCGCAACCAGATTTTCCAGTTATTTCAAATAATATGGCAAAAATGAGAGACCAAAAGTTAACCCGCAGTTGACCATATCGTTTTGACATAAGCGCAGACTAGATAGCGATCGGCGCAGTGTAATCACAGTATTAAGCAGAAGCAAGGTATTAACTACAGTACATTGCGGGCTTTAGGTTAGGTTGTTTCATAATTCTTCAAATTTACTAAAACCATCGCCATTCAATTTTTTTTCATTTATTCAATGCGACTTAGGCTACGATTCGACAGAGCAGCAAGTTAAAAAATGCCTATCTAGCTCCACCTAAATCGAACTCCATAAAAAGTATGATAAAGTATGATGTTGATGTTTTCAACATGTCTTGGACATGTTTCAAAGCAGGCTCTCTAAAGGACAGGGCCTGAATTGTCGCCGTGTCCCAGGGAGCAAATGACTGTATTCTGCAAGTACTCCCCGAGTCGGGCTATTTAGCCTATCGTGTCAAATAACCCTTGCGGGCAAAGCTTTAGCGACTTCTGAGGAATCCCAATACCGGGCCATCTAAGTAAAGTGGATTTTCAAACATGATTAACTGTATTTCAAAGCTAATTAGCTACCACTTTTTGTGAGCAATACAAAGCACTACTTTCTATTTCCCATACGATGAATCCTTTCTAATTATCAAACTGTGGAATTAGCAGCCAGCCAAAACCTCATTTGTCCCATATTACGTTTACAGTGTTTCTACGGAATCAAGAGCCAGCTAAAACCTCATTCGTCCCTTTTCGCTTACAGTGTTTCTACGAAATTAGGAGCCAGCCATCATTTTGCCGTTTTTTCAGTGGTTGTGCTTCCAGCAACTATTGCTCAAATGTAAGAATCGATTTCAGCTCTAACTATTTCTTCAAAAGCGACGAAATTTTGGCTATCCGACTGTATATATTTTGCTAGCTAAATTCCTCTCTGGAGGTGAGTTAATGGCGGGTGGCACAATCCAGAAAGCTGGGGCTGCCACACCTTTATAGGGTTTGTGCCACACCACATCATTGACTTACCTTCAAAGCATCCATATTTGTGTTACTTACATCGCTACCACTGCTATGCTTCTTCTCTTCACAGCACAAACTTCATTTAGAACAGTTTATTTAGGTGAAAAGATGTTTTTCCTTACCTATGCAAGTGGAAAATACTGCGAAAAGTTTGGTTACGGTAACATGCTAAGCCTGCACCACTACGCGAGTCGCATAGGAAGGCGGCGGGAACTAATATATTCAATAGTCTAAACCTCGTAAATTTCACAAGAGTGATTTGAGTCTGGTTAGTCTTCTCTTGTCTGAGATATTGATAACGAAAAAAGGGACAGATTTTGGTTTGCTCTCCATAATTTGGAGGTGAATTAGAGTGGAATTCTTAATGTGAGCAAAGAAGTAGTAGTTTCTTGTATTAAGTGCTGCAAAAAGAGGTAGTTAACTCACCTTTGAAATAAAGCTAACATGTTCGAAAATGAACACCTTACTTGAGTGGCCTATTATGTGGAGACCTCAGAATTCGCTGAAACTTGGCTCACAGAGACTATTTGATATACTGATTGTGAAAATGGTGCTCTTATGTTATACTGTATATATGCATGGTATTCCAACATCAATGTGCTGTTAGTTTACATAGTGTCTTTCTGACATTGTTTGCGAATATCGAGTTATACCTAACATCAGTATCATCTCGATAATGATCCCCGCCCCATCCCTGCCCCTCAATATGACGACTCCCGGTGTGGCCTGCCACACCGAACAAATTATTTGTCTTTCAATCATGTCACTTTGACCTTTCTTCAGAGCGATGTACTGACAAAAGTTAGTGAGTGGAGAAACTCCTGCTCTGCTCCGATTTCCTCTTACGCTATACTGCACTAGGGAGTAATTTTTTCGTAAGGGGCATGTGATATCTGGGACTTGGTTTCGTGAAGCTGTAAGGGCCTATCTGTCTGTCTGTATGTATGTCTGTCTGTCACTAAATTCATATAGCGAAAGCAGCCAACGTCTTGAGCTAGAAATTTTGCCACAGCATCCTATCAGCAAATGTGAACTGTAAACCAAATTGTGAAGTAAACTAAAGTAAATGTGCAAAAGCACAAGCCAATCTGGAACCATAGAGAACTGTGCGTGAAACGAATCCACAATTTTGGCCCTCAAATGGGGTCAGTGATTGGCAAAGTTGTGGATTTCAACAAGTAAATTCGAAAAACATTGACATCAGCCCAAAAAGTATGCAAAAGGTCTATTTTTAAGCAAAAATGGTAAGGTGTAACTGCGCAAATTGTCTATATACCTAGCTTTCTTCAAAATTGAAAAAAATTTTTGAATAGATTTTGCGTAGGTCCGAAAAGTTCGTGCCATTACACTTATCCTCTAATCATTCAAAATGAAGGTAGAGAAACGCTCTAAGAAGTGTCCCATGCTAAATTTCTTTTTCTTAGCAGTGATGTCTTTGTTCGGATTCTTTTAATGTTCTTTCGAATAATTGCCACAACCTCCAACCCATCTTTCACCTACGTAATTTAGCTATTTTTAGAATTTTCGTTTTAGACAATTGAAAAGGCTTTGATAATACTCTGTTCTTTCTTTTTAAGCCATACACGAGATTTTTATTGATTTATTCAATCTACGGCTAAGGTTTCGGCAGATCGCCTTCGTCAGAGTCTGTAAGGAACAATACGATCCGCAGCCGATTCGAAGAAGGCTTACAGCTGAACAGGCGAAATGCCAAACCTTGTCTTCGACCACTAATTCAGCTGCACTTGAGCACGTACCTTCTAGATCACGCCGATAGTACCCTACTAGAGAAACGTGGAGGTCCACGTCGTCCGCTGCTAGAGGAAGATGGACTTGTCAGACGTGAATGCAGACCGCTATTTATATACTACCAGATCAGAATAATTGATCTATTAAGGTGTCCCATAATTATTTACCGTTTTTAACTTATACATCAGCATTTCTCGAGAACTGAGGCACCTTCAAAATTTTCAAATACATGATCGTACTTTTGTATGTATGAGCTATATGGTCACGTGTTTGGGAGGAGCTCAAGACTTCTAGGGGCGGAGTGCCATTTTACTCCCATTTTTTTCTTTCTTTCTAGCCATGGAATAAATACGAAAATTAATTTGATGTTCGATGTGTCAAGCACATGCTAAGTTAAATAAGGAATTTTTAGATTTTTTGGGGCGGAGATACGATTTTTGCCAGTGAAATCCGTTTTTGACTGCTATCACATTTCTGCTCAGAACTTTACGGGGGTTACGATTTGTGCAGACTCTTGATAGCCATCTTGTAGAGCTTGCTTTATCCTATCGAATGGTTACTCAAGCCGCATCAATTAGAAGAAAGATACAAAAAGACGAGCGTCGAAGTAAAAACAGTAAACTAATATTGGACAGCCTAATACAGGGTGTCCCAAAAAGATGTGCACACTCTTTGATCGTAAATAACTCCGTTGCTTTCATGTCTTTCGCCGAGCTTGAGGCACCATTCTGTAGAGCGAGGTTCAACTTAGATTTGTGGTATGGAGCGAATCATCGATCGCTCTTCATTACTGTAGGATTACGGTAGGAACTTTGACAAGGATTTTGAGCCGTTGAAAGCCATATTCTTCCTCGGAACGAAACCTAACAAGTCAAAAACTTTTATACATGGGTAATGGAAGCCGCTGAGTTCGAATATGAAATTTTCACTTCACTGTGACGGTTCTTTCCAAGGTTATTCCAGGTAAACCTTAATAACCGAATTTCCAGCATTTGTCAAAAATGTGATTACGCCGTCAAAAAAGCTAAAAACACTCATAAAAAGTCGTGTTATGGAATCAGCATGCGCGAAAACCCTAGTACACAATTTTTCAGATTTTTTGAAAAAATTTTTGTGAAATGGCATATTTCACAACAGATTCACATGCCATAAGTTCATACCGTAATCCTACAGTAATGAAGAGCGATCGATGATTTTCTCCATACCACAAATCTAAGTTGAACCTCGCTCTACAGAATGGTGCCTCAAGCTCGGCGAAAGACATGAAAGCAACGGAGTTATTAACGATCAAACAGTGTGCACATCTTTTTGGGACACCCTGTATAATAGATAGGGCAAGAGTTCATGCGTAATTGCTAAGTTCCTCATTCCGATTCATTTTTGGTATTTAATTTGTTCTGCAACGAGAGAATTTCTAACTTATATACTGAGTTAAATGATCCAATCAGACAAAGACAAAGCTTGAATAGCAAGCTGCTGTAAGATTGTTTTTTTTCTTTGCTCGATCTCTATCTGCGATTTTCTTTTGATTTGTTCTCGATCTGCGATTTTCTTTTGATTTTAGGACAGAAGCGCTGGAGACGACGAGGCTCAGTTGACTGACGAGAACTTCTGCACTGTCCTTGAACATGGACTACCACCTACTGCAGGTGGTAGTCCATGTTCCCATTCAGTAGGTGACTACCATTACCATTCAGTAGGTGACTACCACCTACTGAATGGGAATAGGTCGTTTGACTTGATCTTGACTGATAGCAACAATGTCAAGGTATGCGAACTCTTGATCCTATTATATAATAATATATCTATGTATCTCTTGGTAGACATAAATGGATTATCTTTGAGCGGAAATAATCAGCAATCTGCCGTGTGAGCCTTGTGGGAACACAAAAGAAAAGGAATCAATCTATCGGGAGGACGAAAGGCACACGAGCACCTTCCAATCATCCTGTTTATCAAAATCACGATGTGTGTCCACTCGATGACCCAATGAGTGCTGTACATTTGAGAGCCGGTGTTTAGCTCTTTTCCTCAGCCATAGGACCGGAAGGGATCTTGAGAAAGAAAGACCCGTGTTCTTATAACTTGTCAGCTGTTCCACTATATGGTATTCGGTGCGCTTGTTTTGGATTTCATAGCTCTGAGTGTTAACGCAAATTCGATTTCCACACTGCTTCAAGTCTCGTTACCTTCAAAATCTGCGTTGCTGAGCCTGTATGTGTGGTTCCCACGGGTTGAGTAACCTCTTATGATTGCGTCACCATCGTAGCCAATTTTTTGGGTGCTTCCTTAAATTACCTCGTTTCTTGTTATCTACAAATCGCATTTGTTCTGGTCGTATACGCACGGTATACAATATCGACGAAGTACTGGAGGATGTACACCCAAAATTATGCTGCAACCTTTGCTATTAGTTCCATAGTCTTGTATATGTCACCGCGAAGATTCAACATCGCTGGATAAAAGATTGTTAACTGGAATTAAGTTTCTATATAGTATATCATCCACACTAATTTCGATTTGTCCTCCTAATAATGAAATTTCGCCTTCTGGAGCATGGAAAGATGCTCCAGAAGGCGAAATGCTCCAGAAACGAAAAAAAGCACCCCTTTCAAATATCCAAAGGGTGCTGTCATTAATAACTGCAAGGCATGGCCTGCAATCGCGATCCTTATAATCAGCCCACTTGTATCAACTTGTCAATAAAAATTTCTTTTTCTTGCCAGCGACCAGAGACCGAAGCAGTAAACATTTTCAAATATCCGCGTGATGAGATTAATTAATTGTATTATAGAGATATGCATAGTGAATTTACGCAACAGATAAACAAATTACCTATGTGCTCAAATTTGATTGGGGACTGCGTGCAAACAGAAACGACTGTTGAGATCGGATAGGTGGAAAACAGCAGTTATGAAAAGGACAGACAGGAAAAGGTAAACAGCTGTGCGCGTCTTGTCACATTCACGAAAGCCATTTTTCAATAACATTTACTTCGCAGTCTTCATTGATCCCTGCAATTTCGAAATGTCAAGATTATTACGAAATTTATTCGGTGTAGGGTTCTATGGTCTATAATCCTGATCTTCCAGAAAATATGTTATTGCTTGCGCCATCTGTTTTTCGTCAGTTCTTCGTCAGCCTGTTTGCGTTCTTTCTCTGCAATATCTTTAATCTCTTCTCTGTGCGCACATGCAGCGCGGGAGGGGGGGGGGGGCACTGGATTATAAAGTGCAAAAGGTACTTTCCTCCTACCACACGAAATTAGGCGTAAAGCTAATGTTGACTGCAGAAACACGCAACCTACGCCAACGGTTTGGCCTGATCCCAGTTGTGATAGACAGTATGTAGAAGTTGCATGCTTTCGTCGTAAAACAGCATGATTTGAAGCTCAAAAAGCAGGGTCCGAAATTGTAGGATGCGTACGGGTTGTTTGGGCATGCATGTCCTAACTGCTAGCTTCGTAAGGCGCTTCTTTGCCCTTCAACAGTTTTAAGGAAGTAGTACGTGGATTTTGCTTTTATAGGCAGCTTCAAAGCGAATTTTCGACAATTTCATCCTACCACTGCACCTGGTGGGCTCGTGGAATCCGGAATCTATCATTGGCTGTGAGACTTGTATAGTCGTCCCCCCTCCCCCCCCCCCCCACTAGACATCTAGTGGACGAATTTGAATTTGAACTAAAGCACGCCGATTGCGGCAGAGCGCGGCATTGTCAAATCCAGTTTAAGCTCATGCCATATTCTTTTGTGTTTTCGTCGTTGCAAGGTGAATTTTCGTTTTAATGATGTTTGTAACCAGAATCGACGAAATTGTTATTGCTGAACGATGTTTCCTGCTACTGTCCTCTCCTCTTCGCTTCTGATTTTGGCTATGCTCCAAAAATCAGAGTTGAAGAAACAGTAGCAGGAAACATCACTCAAGAGTCACAAAATCTACAATCCAATCAAGAAGACTGCCAACATTCAGAATTAGGATGAAATGTTCCAAAAACACAAGAAAATCTGTTGATTGAAGGGAGGGCTGCAGAACCTGCAGCCCTCACTTCAATCTCAAACAGATTCAGCTGTGCCACAACCAGCGTGCTCTACTTCAAATTCGAATTCGTCCACTAGGTGTCAGTGGGAGGAAGACGATATGTAGAGTCAGACGTTCGATCTAAACACCCGCAAGCAGGTTGTACTCTTTAATGACGCGCGCGTCATGCTGTTTGTCTGGCGAGTCCGGACATTGATCTGGGAGATCCCACAGCCGGATTAGATGTCCACCTGATTTTGGTTTGGAAGCTCTCCCAGAGATTTCAGATCTCCGGAATTGCGCTCATCTTTTTTTATATTGATTGAGTCTGAATCTACATATACTAGTGACTACAGGGGTCGCTTGCAAGTGGGTAAGGCAGAAATGTGTGGTATTTAGATCATATTTCGACAACTAATGTGTTTGAAGAGTTCTTGCGCATAGCACTCAAACAGTACCCCTATTGTACTGGTGAATAAGGTACCCTTTGCTCAAAAAGCTCTCGTGAAGGCAGTGAGAGATCATGCTCAATTTATTACAGAAAATATGAGCGATTACACATGGAAATCATACATTTTCTTCAAACTTGGAGAATATATCCTCATCATGGAGCAAAAAGGCAACAATCTTAGCAGTATTCCAGAAGACAGCCAAGCTGGGACACATCCAAGGACAAAGATCAATATATTTCATCATGTGCAGCAATCTAAGGGCAAAGATCATTATACTTCATCATAAGGCGACAAATTTTCCCGTCTGGATCGGGCCAGACGCGGCGCACGCGGCGTACATTACGTACGCCGCCTACGCACACGTGCATAAAGATATGGGGCGTACGCTGAGTACGTTGCGGACGTCGCGTGCGCTGCTCTGTCTGGTCCAACCCTCTGCTGTCTCCTTATTAACCTCAGCTGCCGAATCTAGGGGAGCGGAGTTAACGAGTTTTCATTATATATTACATAGTGAATTATCTATTACCAGCCGCTCTCTGCCGCTACGCGGCAGGTTCGGCTGGTACACGCAGCTTCGCTTCCGGTGAATCTTTCGTTTTGTTCTTTATTGAAAGTGAAATGCAGAAAATTTGCCATTTTGCACGAACTACTGCGTTTATAACCGGCGCAGAAAGAACAACCGTGGGCAGTTTCGGCTTTGTCAGTTTATTTCGAATTAAGGCTAAGCAATGGATATTAGGCGGACTGCGAAAAATCAATAAATTGAAAGGATCGATCGTTACAGTTGAACAAAACGGCTCATTAAAACACATCACACCCATGCGTTATGCCTGGCAAATTTGGTCTATATTCCATAACTCCTTCTATCGTTTTCAAGCAAAGATAATTTCTAAGCAAAAAGTGCAAAAATCCATAAATCGATAGCAACAAATCGTGTGTATCGAACAAAATGGCTTACTAACAACGGCGCACACCATGCATTACGTCTGCCAAATCTGCCTCAAATCCTATGATCCTTTTTCTATCCATCGTGAACGAACATAAAAAAGGGGGAAATCAAATCTCTAAATCTAATCTATATATGATCGGCTCCCCGATTCGTGTGGAGGTGTATTGCAGACTTTGCCTGATAACACATGTAAACTTGCTAAACCTCCACGTCATAGCATTGCTTTTCGTAATCTCTCGCAAGCAAAAACCGCCACGCGGTGAGTTGGCAAGACTCCACCTCCACACGAATCTGGGAGCCGATGATATCTAATTTATATCTTTTTGAAAAGTGGTAGTGCTGGCGACAATGAAGGTAACTTACGTGCACCGGGGCAAGCTCTTCTTGGGCCTCTGGTGCTTCCTGGCCATGGTGAAGACGATTATGTGCAGTTACGGAGCTCCGCATTGTGCCACGTGCTCGAGTTCTCTGCGCAATGTGCATCTGCTGAATGGGGGTGGAGGTAGGCGCCAGTTCAAACATTACTTGTTGCCGCGAGTCAAGCGCAAAGATCGTTTGTGCTGTGTTTTCGTCGATTGGCTCGTGTCGTCGTTGGCCAACCCTTCTGGGCTCGCACCATGCCTGGACTGATCCAGTGTCTCCTGAAGGCGTCTGTTAAGCTGTGCTTCCTGCTACCGTCGACGAAGATGACGTTCACGCATTGAGGCAAGACGACGTTCTCGTGTTCTGTATTTCTCGGCTACGACGAAGACGGCTACGCTGGCTTCAGAAGTGCGCCTTGCAGTGCGGGCTCGGATTCGGCGATATGCACCTGCGACTGAGGTGTGGAGGTGGAGGGTCCATTGCTAGGGGTCAATGGGGTGTATGTCACCCCATTGACCCCTAGCAATGGATTTTATTGCCAGCTGAACACCAAATAGCAAATAATAAGTGTTTTGCAACTTTCTAAAATTGTATGAAATTTGGAAGAAGATATATCAGACAGTTGCATGAGTTGTTCAATCTTGATGTTTAGAAAAAATTTAAAAGAACAATTTTGAAGGTCAAAAACTCATGAAAATGCAATTCAGAACAAATTCGTGAATATTTCAGTCCGATTTAGAGCAAAAACCATGAAACTCAGCAAGTGGTGACCTCAGACGGATAGTAAGCTAAAGCACTTTATCCAGTAATTTTTGAAGACTCGCATAGCACTAAACTGGAGTTTTAAGTTGGTGACAGCCAGAGAAATCGCGCCTCTTGACCGTCTCCCGGGGTCAATGTCGGCGCCATGTTTCGGGTGTAAAAGTCGAAGAAGGTACGACCGATGAAGGCATGGTATGAATGAACCGTAAGGCCGGGATAGGGTATTTTGATTTGGTGGTCATATTTGATCTCGCGGATGAACCATTTTGATTTTGTTGATGAGCTATGCAGTCGACGAAACCCGTTCCGAA